CTAAGAGAGCGAGATAACCACCCCCAAATGTTAGAGAACACAACTATTTCACACTTATAGAAACAAGAGCAAAACAAAATGACAAAAAAAAGAAAAGAAAACAAGGTAAAAGAGATCTACTAACAGAAATAAGCTAGCCAACTACCTATCTAGCGAGAACGTAAGTCTTCAATCAGAATGGTGGAATGTAAGGTAAGGGTGTTACCTCTATGTAGTCTTCGAACACTAAACCAATGCCGCAAGATGACATGAGGATTCACTCAATTGTAGTGATTTCCTTTAGATAGGGGAACCAAATAGCATGATAATAGTGAGGCATTTCAATTTGGATTCAAACTAAGAACCGATGACGATGAACACTCAATAGCAAGTGATAATGCAATTTCAGAAAAAAAAAAAAAAAAAAACAATGGAGATTAATAAGGATTTACCTCATGCTAAATCCCTCAATCAATGGAACCTTCTTTAAAGTTTAACAAAAGAAGAGAATATAATCATTAAGTGGATCTTCCCCTTTCTTAGTCTCTTGACTCTACTTTTCTCTGTCTCTTTCTCTCAACCCGAATCTCCCCTGTCTTATGTTTGCTCTCCCTTTCTTTTGTTCCAGCTCGAGAGTCCCCCCTCTCCCCTTTCCAAAATCAAGAGACATGGTCTTAGGAACAATTCTTCCTATTTATAATGGGAAAGGAGGAGATATGAGATATTTGGAGATTCCTATCGAAAGGGATTCTGGTCATAGAGGAAGGGTTGAGGCGATCAGGATCAACTTAGGGGTTTTAGGATGATTTTTATGGGTTCAAGAGTGGGTGAGGGATTCTAGTAGGGGTCTTTTCACAAACTTCTAAAATGAAGCAACGCTAAGATTGGGGGGTTTATAATTTTGGGTGAGGGCTAACAAGAAGGGTGTTATGCCGACCCTTAACGCACAGAGAGGCCAAGTGGTGCCTCGGTGATTTTTTGTGCCTGAGAACATTGAAATTTTGATAACTCGGGGTTTAAAGGAGGGATATTCCAAAAATTAGGGAAAGTGGAGGGTATTTTGATAATTTGAGAAATGATGGGTAATTTGGGGAATGATTAGTGTTTTGGTAATTTGGAATGAGGGGAACTTTAGTAATTTTGATTGGGGGTATTTTGATCATTTAGGAGGGGGTATTTTTAGAAATTTGGCATTAAGGGTATTTTAGGAATTTGGAATGGGGTATTTTGGTAATTTGGAATGAGGGTTATTTTTAACAAATTAGGATAAAGGGTATTTGGATGATGGGTAAATTAGTAATTTGGAAGTAGAGATATTTTGGTAGTTTGGTATGAGGGTATTTTGGGAATGTAGCATCTTTAGGCTATAAAGGTATTAAGTAAACTGGGTTATAGAAATGGGATCTATAGCTAATGATGGTAAAAGGTTGGGGTCTAGATTTAATAATTGATGTGACAAGTATTTTTAAGGTTTTAAGTTTGGTGATCAGTGAGGGTTTGGTCTGGGTCGTGGGCTCATTGGACTAGTGGTGAATGGGACCGAACAAAAATTAAGTAGGTTCAATAGTGAATTTTGAGGATTCAGGGCTGATATTTGGGTTCTTGAGGTTGTGGTGTTTTAAAGAGACTGGAATGGTTTTGTTGGGCGTTTGGGATGAGTTAAAGCTATGTTCGGTTCTAAGGAAAAAGTAGGGAAAGTAAAGGAAAGGTAAAGAAACCTTTACAAATCTTGTATAGATTTTAATACATTTCCCTTCCTTTCCCTCCCTTTTCCTTCAAACCAAACATAATCTAAGGGTTTAGATAGAAGATTGAGCAAAAATTGGGTGTTGATATACTTATTTTGAACCCCTTTCTTTTTCAAGACCCCATATTATTTTTCTAGGAATTTTATTATATGCCTTTTCTAGATCAATGAACACCATATGAAGATTTTTCTTCTTCTCTTCGAACTTTTCTATCAAATGTTTTAAAGGAAATATAGCTTCCATGGTTGATCTCACTAACATAAAGCCAAATTAGTTCTCTAATACACTTGTTTCAACTTTTAAGTCATAATCTTTGTTTAATTAATCTCTTTCAAAGTTTCATAGTGCAATTCATAAATTTAATATTTTGATAGTTATTACAACTTTATATATCACCATTGTTCTTAAATATAGGCATCACACTGTTATTTTTCTAATCATTAGGCATCTTTTGTTTTTTTCACCATATAGCTTGGTTAGCAATAACAAGCTTACCTCTCTCATTCCTTTTTATACTTTTATTGGAATTTCATCATGTCCTAACACCTTCCCTTTTTCATCTTATTTAGTGTCTATTCTAATTTGAATAGGTCTAACTCTATAGAGGTACATATTTACATCTCTTGTATATTATAATTTGTAGCCATTAATTTCTTTGGATTTTTTACCCTTCAATTTAATTTCTTGTAGACATGCAATATTAACCCTCATCTTCTTCATAGCATTTACTAATTCCATAGTTTTTCTTGTTAATATTCTTACATCCCAAGTAGCTAAATGAACTTGTATTTCTTGGACTAGCTTCTTTACGTGACCATCCTAGCAAACACTTGCCTATTTAACACTATTCTTAGTTTTAGTGCTGGGTGCTAACCTAACACACCCTTATCCTCTTCAATTGTTTAATTGCCACTTGAACCTAATAGGTTTTGGGTTTCATTTTGCATATGGTTTTAGCACACAATCCAACCCCCTCAGAGACTTGGGTTATTCCAAGCAGAGATGCAACTCTTCGGATCTTTTGCGAAGTGCAAACTAGACAAGCTACAAATAAAACAAAGTGTAAGGGATATCTACCATTAACAAAATGCTCCAAATATTGTCCCAATAGGCCATTGCAATTGCACATTGGGAACATCTCCCTTATCATTCATGGGAGATATTCCTGATGTACTAAGTAAATGGCTTGTTGGGAGTATATCCAAATTTCGTGCACAAGGGAAAAGGGACTAAGTCTGGATCACAACAAAAAAATTCATTCCGATAGTTTCAACATGATCTGTATTCCCCTACCTAACACATGGTAGGTCTCAAAAAAGGGTGTAATCAAGCTGAGTTAGCCACAAAACTTATGGATTGTCCATAGGGGGGCAACCATTAGGTGGAAAGTGGGGAGAGGGAAAAAACTTACATGGGAAAATGTATTACATCTGGTGATTTCTAGACCATAGGGTGGGCCATGGCTCCCTTAGGTCCCCTTGGCTTTGCCCCTGGTTTGATAAATATTTGATGAATTCGAGTTTAGCTCAAAAGCTCGAAAATGATCGAATAGATTTTTATATTTTTATAATATAAATATATGGTACTTTTTATAATATATAGTATACTCTTATATTATATATAGAATATAAAAGTACATTTTCATAATATATCTTTATATTATATAACACATATGTATGTATGTATGTATGCATGTATGTATGTATGTATGTATGTATGTATGTATGTATGTATATATGTATGTATGTATGTATGTATGTAAGTATGTGTTAATTGAGCTAAGATTGCGAGCTTTTGAGCAAAACTTTTTATTGGTCAAGCTCAAGCTTGAATAACTAATTGAGCTTACTGTAAGATTCAAATTTGATTCTAGCTCGATTACAATTGAATTTGAACCATACCTAAGGAAACTCAAGCTCAAGCTATTTGATTTTAGCTTTAGTCTCAGTCTTAGAGTAAGATGTGCGGATAGTTGGAATCGGGTTGGTATAGTTTTTGTTGGGAAGAGATCCCAACAAAGAGTACCAAAACCAATTATCCAAATTTCCGGCCTATTTACTTTTGATTAGATTTTTGGATTTGCCATTCACAAAGTGCGCCTCACATCAACCTCACTAGGGGGTGTTCATTATATATTTCAAACCGCAAACCCGAACCGAACCAAATTTGTGGTTTGGTTTGGTTTGAGAATTTTCTAAATTGCGGTTTGCAGTTTCAGTTTGGTTTATTGAATTTTATAAACCAAACAAAACCGTAAACTGTAAATCGAAATTTTATATACATATATATAATATGAATATAAGATATATAAATATTATATATAACATATCTAAATGGAATGCGTAAAATTATAAAATATAATTAATGAACTCTTTATTTTATAATAAAATAATAAATAAAAGTTTAAGTTTTAAATTTTAGGAGAGCTATTTGGGCTTTCTAATTGGGTTAAGCCTAAAAGGATCATAGAATGGTATAAAGTCCCCAAACCTTATTAGAAACCGCACCAAACCGTAATTTGATTTAAAAATTTCTTAAACCGAAAATTTCCGATTTAGTTTGAGATCTTCTCCAAGCTACATCGAACCGGACCGTAAACACCCTAAACCTCACAACATGTTCATAATCGCATGAATGATAATATACAAGTACAGGAGATGTGGTTGAAAATGCAAAGTGGGATCTATTCTTCACAAATGGGCGCCTCATCGCCATGCATTGGGAACATCTCCTGTGATTAATAACTAATAAGTATGGGAGAATTTCCCAATGCATGGTAGGATGTGCGTGTGAGGTGCCAGGTGTGAGGAGAAGATCCAATCTCTAAAATGCTACGAGATTGGTGTGAGGCATGCTCAACCAGGAGCAAATCCGATCTCTCATTGGGCATGTCTAATTGAGAAAGGGATATGCTCCTCACACATTGGCGCCTCACAGGCACATCCATTGTGCATTGGAAACATCTCCCGTGAATAATAACTTATAAGTACGGGAGATGTTCCTAATGCATGGTAGGATGTGCGTGTGAGGCGCCCTATGTGACTAGCAGATCCGGTCTCGATTTTGTAGCAGATCCAAAAGAACGAGAACCTGAGAAATGAGAACCCTAGAAGCCCTGGGCCTAACCGTCTAAGATGAGTTCAGGTTGGCGCCGCACTCGCGCCCAAAACACATCTAACCGTGCATTGGGCTCCCAATACACGGTTGGGATGTGCAGGGCAATACCTCTTCGATTGAGGGAATCACCAAAACCCTAGAAAACACTGCTGTTCTTTCTCGTTCAAAAGCCCCTCTCTCAACCATAAGCACTCGCGGTCGCGGCGGGTAAGAAAAGCAGCAGGCAGCAGGCAGCAGGAGCTGGAGCAGGAGAAGCAGAGGCAGCAATGGTATCCTCTCTCCCTCTCCCCCTTCCCCCCCTCTTTCCCTCGCGGTAAATGCCTTCTGTGTTGACGTTTCTCACTTATATCGTTTGTGATCAGGGTATCGACTTAGTTGCAGGAGGCAAAAGCAAGAAGACCAAGCGAACCGCCCCAAAATCCAATGATATTTATCTCAAGCTGCTTGTCAAGGTCCGTTCAGCCTCTTTTTTTTTTAATTTTTTTTTTCCGTTCTTATGTTCTCTCTTTTTCTTTGTAACCTCTCATCTGATTGTGTGATCGGATGTTCCTTGATCAGCTATATAGGTTTCTGGTACGGAGGACCGGAAGCAACTTCAATGCAGTGATTCTTAAGAGACTTTTCATGAGCAGGGTCAACAAGGCTCCGATGTCCCTTTCACGATTGATTCGCTACATGGAGGGAAAGGTTGATCCTTCTTATTCCATTTATTTTGTATTTTCTCTTATCTCAATTTCTTTACTCGGTTCTCTGCAACATTTCACCCTCTTCTGTACCTTGTTTTGTGCTTGACGATCTCAGGAGAATAAGATCGCGGTTCTTGTTGGAACGGTTACTGATGATACTCGGGTTTATGATGTACCGGCGTTGAAGGTGACGGCTTTGAGGTTTACAGAGACAGCGAGAGCTAGAATTTTGAAGGCAGGAGGAGAATGCTTGACATTTGACCAGCTGGCTCTCAGGGCTCCCCTTGGGCAGAACACAGTAAGGAGTTAAAATGCGTGTTTTTGCCATCCCATGCCTTCATTACTTTGTTTTAGTGGTACTTTTACTTAGTTGTATCGATTAATGGGTTGTGTATTTGGGGTTTTTCTCATCCATTTAATCGTTGAGACTAGAATACACTTCGTGGCTTTTGTTCGTTAGCATATTAACAACGTATGCTAGTGTAGCTGTCGGGAAAGGGTAAGGAGATTGGGCTACAATGATCGAGTAGCGGATGCATCATTTAGACATATATCTGGGTTTTCTGTGTTTGGGAGGTTATAGTAGTGGAAATTGTGGAAATCTGGAGTTTTCTATTTATGGAATTTTCTTATTCTAGTGTTTGAGAAACTTATTGTTGAAACCTCATTGAACTTGAGGTGACTATATATGCAATAGATGGCGTGAAGGCATTTCTTTTGGTTCTTTAGATCATTAAATGCCCTGTTTTCTTTCTTCCTGCTGCTTTATGAACGAAAGGATAAGACAAGATATGAATCTTCCCAGTGATTTAAAAGGCATGCCTAGGCGCACAGGTGAGGCGCATTTCAGGGTATGCAAGTCGCCTAGGTCCTAGTCTCAGTCCTTTCAGAAGGCTCATGCCTGGTGCGCCTAGGTGTGCGCCTGATGCGCCTTGTGCCTCAGTCCAGGTGTGCGCCTTTTGAAAATTTGCCGCTTTTTTGCCTTTTTTTGAACATAGCGGCTGGGCCGTGCCATGCCCCTCGAGAACCCCCAATTTGGTAATGTTGTTCATTCATTCATCCTAATAAAATGTCTTCTTAAAAAGCAAGTAAAACTATAAAATCATTATTTTTTGTGTGAAAACTAAGAATTTATGACCTAACGTGGACTTGTTTAGGCTTGCCTCGAGGGGTGTGGCACAAGGGCGGCTCGTAAAATCAGGAATATAATATGTTTTACATTACATTAGCTACGTGAAGTAATGCAATTGAGTGAAAAAAGAGATTAGAGGTTTTAAATGCTTGAAAATGTTTTATATTTTTGATTTTATTTTTAAATTCTCATTTGAATATGCTTTACATAATTACATCTTATGTTTATGTATTTTAATTTTAGATAATATGTTTTTTAAAACATTATTTTAAAAATTTAAGTTTATATATTTCTATTAATATTATGTTTAGTATTGTTTTTTATTTTTTTGATTTTTTGGCTTTTTTTATGAATTTTCTGACATTTTTTTTGATTTTTTAGCAATTTTTTATAATTTTGCGCCTTGCTTCTAAAAAGGCACGCGTCTTGCCTTGCACCTTGTGCCTCAGGTGCAAATTGACCCCTGTGCCTTTTTTGCGCCTTGTGCTTTTAAAACACTGAATCTTCCCAAAGAGAAAGGCAATCACCAAAGACAACTAGTATCTTCTGTTGACCCCCTAACTACTGTGCTCGAATTCCATTCAATTTCTGATGCTACCAAAGTATCAAATCCTTGATCTAGGGGTGTGGATGGGTTGGGGTAAGCCTCTGGGGGTGAGTTAGGATTTTACGACTCCATTATGGGAACCTTGGTTATGTTAACTGGTGGAAAGTGTGTTTCTTTCATTGCCCAGAATCTCTATCTGTGTTGTATCTCCAATATTTCTTTAATTATTTTTTATTATCAATCACAATCAATAATCTTCAATATTTGTTTTGTTTTGTGGCCGAGTATATTGGGAACATGTGGGTCAATGCCATGAAAATAATAACTGTGTTTTAAATTGTAGAAGGTTGAATTGAATTGAATCATGAGCCATATTGTTACTGAATAAATGCACACACGTACACAAAAAATTCTTTTATTTGATGGATAGCAAAATACTTTTGTTACTGAAATAAAATAAAAGTTGATACAAAGAGATGTGGCTAGCCTTGTCTCTAACCACCCTATACTTTTAAAATTATAATTGTAACTACCTTTGACAATCCAAACAACAATAGAATTGTTATCTGTCCACCCCTTGGCCAGTCCATTTACAGATGTAGGTAAGAAATTGAGAGTTGCTCCCAACCTTCAATTAGCTGCTGCAACTCTCTTATAGCATCTCTGTATTTCGATGGCCCATCTTTATTACCCCTAAGTCACCTGGTTACTGCATTCGGGTCAACTTCAACAATTATATTCCTGAAGTTCAATAGTTTAGCCCTTCTAAGGCCTTGGACTCTTGGAGGGCTGCCCAAACTTCTGCTGTGGTGGAGTCTCCTATCCCCTAAGGCGTTGAGTATAGTGCCAAAAATTCTTTCTTCATTTCTGTATATAATTCATGATTGGCCTGGATTTCCAATGCTGCAGCCACCAAAGTTAATTTATGAGATTAGGAGGGGTCCAAACAGCCATGATCAAGATTTTAGCAACCAAGGAATCTGACATCTAGTTCCAATTTCTCATAATGTCATCCAGTATACATGGGGGAGAATAACTCTAAGTCTTGACTCAGTGAATCACTTTGATTGGTATATCCTCTAAAATCTCTTATGCTGATCTCTCCTTGTCATTAAGCAGTCTTGCATTTCTTTCTTTCTATATACAGCGAAGAATAGCAGCTCTTGTGCATCTCCAAAGGACTTCACCTTTCTTCTTAAGAGTTGAGAAAAAAAGGATCCAAGAAAAAAACTCTTCAAGTCCTAGGGGGGACTCGACCTACCACCAAAAGTGAGAAGAAAAACATTCAATATAACAGTTGCAAATTTACGGGAGATTTGTAAGTGGAATGTGTTCTCACCACTTGGCACTTGCTCTGTAGAGAAGGAAAAGGTGGGTTGATAGAATCATAGAAACCAGAGTTATCACATGCATTGGTTTTGTAATGGAACACTACCCATCAAAAAGCTCTAATTTTTGGAAAAACTTTGGCTGTTGGCCCCAATGGTGTGGGCTGTTGAGGAGCTTCTTCCACATGACATGTTACCATGGGTGTGGCTCAAAAGAATAATTGTCCTCAATATTCTTTTGACCAAAACGACAAACAGGGGACTGAATTGGTTGACATGCCATGTGGAGGAAGTTTCTCAACATCCTAGTCTGTTGGCTCTCAACAGCCAAAGTTTTCTCTAATATTTGGTGGTATTGGTCCTCTCCAAATGGCTTTCACTGGGCAAGAAATGGGGGATGAGGCTCTCTTCCAATGGTTGAAAAGAAAGAGGCACATGCAAAGGTAATACAGGCAGATGTGGTCCAAATTCTGGAAACAGAGGCTAGGGGTCAATAAAAACACCCTTCAAAAGATCTAGAAGGGCTAAAATATCTAAAGTTTCATGATCCCTGGTTTTTCTATGAAGTCTCAAATTCCAATTCAGACCATGGTCAGAGATAAATGCACAGTTAGACACTACACATTCTTTATTAGAAAAATAATCTTATTCCATTGTTAATTGTATATGTACTCAACAAAACAGAAGTTGCCACTTGTACAACCACAGGTCCATGGCTGCCAAAGCATATGGTGGATTCTAGATAAAATTGGATCACTTAGTTGCATAGGTGGTTATGGTTCATTCTCTATTATTCTTTACGTAATTTTATTGTGTTTGTGAGATGTCTTTTCTCAGATCCAAGTCTGATTGTTGTACACAAGGATTAGATGGTGCAAAATGAGAAGATGGTGATATCTTTCTGTTAAGGGGTTTTGTTTGGTTAGGTGGAGGGCATTTGGGTTTTGGACATTGTCCAAGAACCCAAGAATTGGTCGTGGTGGTGATTGATGTGCTTTGGAGTTCCTTCATGCCCAGTAGAGCTGTAAATGGATTGGGTCTGGTTCAGGGCAGGGTTTATCTGTTCTGCCCTAACCAATTATAAATCAGTTCTATAAAATAGACCCAAAACCAAACAATTATTAATCAGGAAAACTGGTTGTGATCCAATCATAACAGTAGAGATGTAAATGGATTGGGTCTGGTTCAGGGAAGGGTTTATCAGTCCTGCTCTAACAAATTGTAAATCAGTTCTATAAAATAGACCCAAAACCAAACCAATTATTAATCAGGATAACTGGGTCTGGTCCAATTATAATTGACATCTATATACTCATGATTGTAACAATTTAAAGCCTCATATTTGTCTTTCGATAGCATAACCTTAATAAATATTTTATATGTTGATAAAACAAGTGTCTTAACCTAACTTGTCTTATATACTGTCTTGGAAATTTACACTTTTACAGTTACAAAAAAATGACATACCCTTTTAGACATGAAATATAACAAAAATTACAAGAAAACGAGGACATCCTTGTATATTTTTAACTATATAATCAGTGCAGGTCTTAATTGGTTTGGAACAGCAAGAACCTGTCCTGGCCCAATTATTAATTGGGACAAAGCAAAAGAACTAGAATAAACATTATCAGTTTGATTGGTTTGGTTCTAGTGGGTAGACTCGGTCCATTGATAGCTCTTATGTCCTGGCTCTTGAGTTGACTCTAGCACCCTTGGTTAGGTCTCATGTTTGGTAAATCTGAACTCTGATCTCTGAAAAAAAAGTTGCGCAGGCAACTTTGAAGTTTTAACTGTTGAAAATAACTTCTCTGTTTTTATGAATTCAAGTAAAGTGATATTAGTTGATATTCTGAATATTGCAACCTCTAAAAAATATCTATGCTATAGTTTTATCCCTTGAATACATATCTTAACTCTTAAGTAAACATATTTCTGTAATGTCATATTATTGTAAGTTATATCTTATTGAATGCCATATATTCTATAACTTATTTTATATTTAGATATTATATACTATATAGTGTTATTTTAGATGTTGTAATATAATACCATATTTTATTATATGGGGAGATTAGTGAAACTTTTATGGGCAATTGCAAGATTGTCAAAGGACAATACTGTCCAAATAACCACTAACCTATGAAAAGCAATTTCTTCAGACTTTAGAGGTTAGCCTGTTCTACCAAATTCCACCTTGAACCTGTTCCTTTTTCACTGTTCTTCTAATTACAGATTTTTATAGGCCTTGCGGTCTTTTGATAATTGGAATGATGGACAACATGAACATCCTAGTTAAATTTTTTGATGAATGAATGATATTTTATTAAATAGAGATAGAAATAGTACAAGCATGAAGCACTCTAAGAGGAGGCACGAGGTGTTACCTCCCCTTAAAGGTGGTTCCATACCCAACTCTGCCAAAGCATTTTCTGATCTACTAACCCACTGAAAGCTAATTGACATGGTGCTCGTAAGCCATTTGACTTTTTTGATGATGTCCCCATATCTCCAAACAACAGTTTTTGGGTCAGATATCCATTCTATTATCACCTTAGAGTCTCCTTCAACTATCAAATTAGTCACTTCAAGTTGATTGGAAATCTGTAGTCCTTGTACCACAGCTAATATCTCAGCCCTTGTAGAGTCTCCATAACCCATTGGACTTGAGAATAAGGACAGAATGTTGCCATTCTTATTCCTTAAGATCCCTCCTATACCCGAAGGTCCTGGATTGCCTTGATTGCTCCCATCACAGTTCAACTTCACAATTCCTTTTGGAGGGGGTAACCAACTTGCTTGTGTTCTATTTTCTTGGATGATGTGGAGGTCATTGCTGCCCAACTCCTTCGAAGGTCATCACTAGAGTAATCCACAAAGAGATCAGTAGTCTTTAGCCAAAGGATTGCTCTTGTATACAATCCTTTATTTCAGCAATGCTTCTTTCCTTCTAGAAAATTCTGGCATTTCTTTCCTCCCAAATGGTCCATAAGAGGGCTACCCTAATACATTTCCACATTACTTTCCCTCTCTTTGTTGGCCAACCAAAAAAGATGGATCAAAAGGCAGATTTACTTCAGGAGGCAGGTTCCACCTGTACCCAAACAACATAAAAACCCAATTCCAAATATTTACTGTATAAGAGCAAGAAATTAGTAGGTGATAACAGTCCTCATTCTGCACTTTACATAAAATGCACCAATTGGGGGACAAGCATGAATAAGGTCTCTTTTTTTGTACATTGTCCACAATATTAATTTTACCATAATACACTTCCCAACAAAAACAAGCAATTTTAGGTGGAATTGGCCTTGACCAAACTTCTTTAATTTAGAACAACAAAGGGGAAGGAGTAGAGCAATAGACTTAAAAAAGGAAGAACAAGAGGAGCCACTCGAGGTCAAAGACCAAATTCTTCTATATGGTTTAGGAGGGTCCAAAAAACAGAATCAAGTAAAAGTAAGAGCTTAGAGGTAGAAATCGATTCCTCATCCCTCAACTTCTACGGATTTCAAAATTCCAATTAAGAGATAATGGGAGGATGAGGGGAGAAAGAAACCTTGAACCTCGAAATAGGCTCCTTTTTATAGAGGGAAATAGAAAAAAGGAGGGATAGAGGTCTAGTAATGGTTGGTTGCCCACCCAAACATCTTCCCAAAAAAGCATAGAATTACCATTGCAGGCATCATACCTTACGAACTTTAGAAATTTTGGTAGGATGCCAAAAATCGCCTTCCAAGGTGTAGTGAGTGTGGCCCGTTGAGATACCCCGGCATCCCAACCATATTCAGAACAGCCATTGGATACTAACCACCACCTCATGCCACAATCTCTCTTTCCAGAGGCCACCTCCATAATCACTTGCCCAAAAGAGCTTCATTCTTATTTACTAGGTTCCCTAACCCTAAGCCCCCTTGTTCCTTATTTCGACTCACCACTTCCCATCTAATCAAATGATCATTTTTCTCTTCACTTGGTTCCTACAAAAAATCTCTCATCAACATCCTGGTTAATTTTAAGCATTTTACACTGTTTTAAATGTGGGAAGCATTCTAAAGGTGTACCCTTTTCTCCAAAAAATAATAAGTTCCAAGAGCAGGAGGGCACAAGGCATAGAGGTGCCATTTTTGAAAAAAAATCAAAACGAAAGCAACTTTTTCAAAAACCTTATTAGCTCAATTGGCCAAGAGCAACTCATTATTGACATGAAGGCACCTTTTATGTTCTAATTCAACATATGCAACATGTATTATATTTACAATCTATAATGCATCATGTTTCCTATTCAACACTAAATTCATGGTTAATTCATCAAAATATATCAACACTTCAGGACAAGGTGCATTTGACAAATTGAACCCTGCCTGTCAGTCCCTTTCAAAACACAGATTTAATGTATTTTAGTAATCTTGGTTTTCTTCTTAGAAACTGGCTTGACTTGTTTATCAAAAAAAAAAAAAACTGGCTTGACTTGTGTAGATGCCGTTTATTTATAATAAAAATAAGATGAGCTAAATGTTGTGTAGTTCCTTTGTGAATATGCATAGTTTATAGTGTGATGCCTTCTCATTTCTATAGTGCTTGCAACTGAGGGTTCTTATGGTGTGTTTGACATAAGAATCTGAATGGAAGGTTTTGTCAGATGAAGACCTCAAGCCTTGGGCATATTGTGCATAATGCATCCTCCCATGCCCCGGGATTGTGCTTTTACAGTGTATATAATTTTGGCTTCCTCTGTGCTTGCTCAAAAATATCATAGGATGCCATGTTTCACATGCATGTGGCAAGTCTTCTTGCAGGAAGAAGATCAGTTATGCATCCTTATTATGCTTGCTATTGTTGATTAAAGTCTACGTTCTGGCATGAGTCGTTCATTTGATGTTTTCTTTCCACAGCCTATGTTTTTTACTTAAATTTGACATTTTCTGCATAGTTCGCATTCTGTTTATTAGACCAATTATAATTATTACTACATCTTAGTTGTAAATTACATGTTCGCTTTCTTTGTCCCTGTTACAGGTTCTTCTCAGAGGTCCTAAGAATGCTCGTGAAGCAGTGAAACATTTCGGCAAGGCTCCAGGTGTGCCTCATAGCCATACCAAACCCTATGTACGGTCCAAGGGGAGGAAATTTGAGAGGGCTCGAGGGAGAAGAAACAGCAGGGGATTTAGGGTCTGAGTCATTTGTCATGCTTTCTCTGGAGGTGTTTGTCATGCACTGTTCTGGCTCAATTTTTGTGAAGACATCTTTTATCTTTTGGCGAGCAATTTTTTGTTGGACATCTAGCCATCTAGGTATCTAGGCTTTATTTTTTCCTTTTTATCTTGTGAAATGTTGGATAATTTGAGCATTGGCAATTCTAAAATGAATAGTAGTAATCATTACATGCATAAGTTTGGCCATGCATTGTTTCCTTGGATACAAGAGTTAAAACTTAACTTTTATTTGATACTTGATGGATCCTTTTTCTTTTGGGATTTTGATCAATTCTACTCGATGGGTCTTATGTGCCTGGAATTGGATGTGATAATGACATGGAGAATGAGATTCTCTTTCCAAACCCCGGTAATTGGATCCAATTTGTTCTAATGTCATAATTTGTCATTTTGCTTTTTACCCCAGTTTATACTTTACTTTACATGAAAGTTCAGAATGTCTATTTTGGTAGAATCCGGATTTCCTCGCAAAATGTTCCTCACACCCACCTCACAGCACTTGCAGCCGTGCATTTGAGAACATATCTCTGATCTCTCCAAATAAAAACTTACAAGTACGAGATATTCCCAATATGCGGCTGCAGCATGCTGTGGGATGGGTGTGAGGTGGAACTCCGAACTCATTTTGATAGAGAAAAAAAAGTGGTAAAGAATTCATGTAATTGTTATAGATAATCAACAGAAAAATAGGTAATGAAACTCTGTTGAATTACAAATTTATATGCTTAGTCTGTGCAGTCTTTGAGTTTGGTTTAATTTTAGTTTTGTAACTACACAGACTAGTGACTGTTCTGGTGAACTAGTTGACCTTGTAGCAGACTAGTGCTAGAATAATGGAAGTGGTCCTCCTAAGTATTCCAGCATTCAATATCAAATAACTCTTGGGTTTTCTTCAAACTAACTCCTAGTTCCTCAGCATTTCAACATTGGAAAGCAAAATCCTAGGCTAGAGAGCCTAGGCTCTCGGGTTTTCTTCATGGTTCATTCCACTATCGTGCCCTGTTTTTTGGTTTCTGGTGGGACTAGAGAGCCTGGGGAAGACTAGATGTGTAGACCTGTGATGCCGGAAAGGTTTGATATGGGAAGACGGCGGGTTTCTTTAAAGATCTTGAGGTGATTATTCTGCAAATTTGATAAAAGTATGTTTTATACTTTTATTCTTTTATTACAAGTTTCTGAGAAAACAATAGGTGAAATTGAGAGAGAAGGGCGTAGTGGGTTTTGTAAGAAGATGCAAGAGTTTTTTATTTTTATTTTTATTGCTTCATGGGCTACACAATGGGGGGTAGTTTGACTTGACGATATTTGGATCGGTTTGGGCCAGACAAACTTGATTCAAGTTTGGATGGCACTAGCGAGGACCCGTGCGATGCACGAGAAAATCTGTAATATTGAATGATGTTATTTATTAAATGAATTTTGATCAACTTTAAATAAATAAAAATAATTACAAAAGCTAATAATTAACAATTATATAGAAATGACAACGGGGTGGGATTAGGGCGTGGCACCCCCTCCTTGTCTCCACCTTGTAGTTAAAACACTCTACCCCATCCCGACCCTGTTTTTGATGTTGGGCGTGTTCAAGGCAAGGCACCCACTCCTCATTAAAGACGGGGAATTCTCGAATTTTTTGATCCTTGTCCTTGTTGTTGAGCAGGTTAAGGGAGAGGCACCCACTCGTATTAGGGATAGGGAATCCTTAAATTTCCCCTGCCCCGTCCCTGATGTTGGGGAGGGTTCGGGGCAATGCACCCACTTCCTATCCCTAACGGGGAATCCTCAAATTTTTCCTACCTTAAGACAACCACCTAAAAATAATCTAATTTTTGGATATAGGTTTATGGGAATATAGGGGTATTTTAGGTAGGGGTGAGCATTATTCGGTTAAAACTGAAAAACCAAATTGAAAAATTTTGGTTTTAGTTTTTTCGTGGCTACACAAAATCCCAACCCTTCCACCTAAAAATTTTAGGGCTACAAAACCCACGAGTAGGGATGGCAATTTTTCCCATCCTCGTTGAGTACCCGACATCCTCGACTAGGCGGGGATGGGGATGGGATTAATAGGAATACTCGATTGGGGATGGGGAGTGAAGTCCATACCTTGCCTCAACCCCGATTATATATATTAAATATTTGTATATATATTATATTAATATAATATAATCTATGTTGTTTATAATATTATTTATATTATATATATTTAAAATATTATTTATATTTTAACGTTTCCTTTATTTTAAATAAATACATTTTTGAAAACAAACGTTTAATTAAAAAATTTGGGGATTCAAGTCCCCAGTGGAAAACCGTCACCGTTAGGGACCAGGGATGTAGACTAATTTTTTTCCCAACAGGGGTCGAGGTTAGAGATGGGGATAAATTTAAAACTCTGGGTTGGGATAGGGAGTATGATCCCTGCCCTAAACCCGCCCATTGCCATTCCTACTTGGGGGTCATCCCTAAGCCCATAAATATTAGTTCTAATAATATTACATTTATATTTATTGAAATAAAATTTTAAATGAAAAATCCCCAATAATTTTAATTATTAAATTTGTGATTATTAATATTTTAACTAATATTAAATTTTCAATAATTATATATTATATTATATAAATAATATTATTTATATTATATATATTATTATTTAATTTTAACTTTCCTTTCTAAAAACAAACTTTTAATTAAAAAATTTGGGGATTTAGGTCCTCGACTGATAGGGAACCTGTCTCCATTGGGGATTGGGGATGTAGGCTAATTTTTTTTTTCCTTATGGGGATAGGGGTTAGAGAGGGAACTGATTTAAAACTTGGGATCAAGACGGGGAGTATGATCCCCGTTCCAAACCCACCCATTGCCATTCCTAANCCAAGCCCATAAATATAGTTCCAATAATCATGGTAATTATAAATGTAGTATCCAATACTACAAGGTGCCAACCAACGGGTTGGTACGGTCTCTTGTTGGTCGTAGCGGAGACTTGAGATTGAATCCCGCCTACACCTGGGTTGGGGGATGAGCTACCCCCTTTGTGTAGCCCTTCAAAAGATATAAAAAATGTAGTATCCAATACTTATAAAAATTATTAAAAATTTCCAATACTTGTTAGAAGTTATATAGTTTAACTTTCACTAAATTAAATTACCAAAATCAGTAATTTTTAGTAATTAAAATGCAAATAACATTTTAAATATATTTTGATATATATGTATATATATATAATATGCAAAATATTATAAATAATATTATGTATTTAATAGAATATATATACACATATTTAATATATACAATTGGGGTCAGGGCGAGGTGTGGACTTCACTCCCCATCTTCGTCTTGGTCCCCAATCAGGTATTCCTATTAAGGTTTATTAGGCTTAAAACTTATAGCTCTATGGGGCTACACAACCCGATGATGGGGATGACAATTTTCCCCATTTCCATCGAGTATTCGGCCTCCTTGACCAGGCGGGGACGGAGATAGAGACTACCTTAGCGGGGACAACTACACAACTTGATGGTAGGGATGGCAATTTTCCCCATCTCCATCGAGTAGTATCCAACTTCCCTGACCAAGTGGGGATGGGGATAGAGACTGCCTTAGCGAGGACATGGTGGGGATGGGATTAATAGGAATAACTGATTGGAGACCTGGATGGGGAAGGGGAGTGAAGTCCATACCCTGCCCGATAGGGATAGAGATGCTGGCTAAATACCTTTCTAAAAATAAACTTTTAATTAAAAAATTTAGGGATTCAGGTCCCTAATGGGGAATTCGTCTCCATCGGGGATCGGGATGCTGGCTAAACTTTTCCCGATAGGGATAGGGGTCAGGGATGGGAATTAATTTAAGACTTGGGATCGGGACGAGGAGTATGATCCCCACTCCAATCCCGCCCATTGTCATTCCTACCCAAGGGGTCATCTCCCAAACCCGTAACACCCCCAAAACCCATAAATATAGTTCCAATAATTATGGTAATTTTAAATGTAGATATACTTATGGAAATTATTAAAATTTTCCAATTATTTATTTGAATAATTGGAAGTTTTATAATTTAACTTTCATTAAATTAAATTACCAAAATCACTAAATTAAATATAGTTCCACCAAGTTGGGTGATGTGGCTCATTGTGACACTAGTAAATGCACTACCCATTCAAGTAGTAAAGTAGTGAATAAAGTATCGTTCCCACGAGGATTTAAGAAACAATTACTAATACTAAATTGAACATTTCTTATCTGATCAACAATAAATCAAAATTTTATTCAAAAGCTAAAAATCCTAAACTAAAATCTATCTAAATTATTGGCCTAATTTCCTTCAACTCAGGTTAGAAGAGTAAGCAGTTAATGTTAATCTCAGAATTCAGCAATCAATCAAATTGAATCATTCGAATAGATTGTGATTAAACCTTGGTTTGGTGAAACCCCAAGGTCATGAACAACCTCTTTCGAGTGCATGTTCATCCTATGCATTAGTGATGACCCCCATATATCTATTAAAGATCTAATCCCATGCATGCATTTCTTCAAACACTTTTAAGACATCAATTCAAATCTGAATTGATCAGCAACTGAATTGTACAAGTTATCTCTAACATTGCATTCAATTCAGTTCTTGAATAGTAGATCTGAATTCCTAGAGTCTTTCTCAAGCACTCTAAGAATTCCAAGCTTAGATCAATTCGGCAAATCTGAAAATTTGTAGATTTGAATTATCTTTCAAGCAATTCAAATCTTGCAATCTCAGATTTAAGAATTTAGATACGAGTTTTGAAAGTTTAATTGGCTGAATTGATCTACAATTAACTCCTATTCAAGAAACTTCAAGAACAAATCACACCCATTCAAATGAATCAAAAATAAATTGATTGCTGATATGGAATTTTACCAACTTAATTACATCAAGAAAGAATGGAAGATGTAGAAAGAAAAAATTACAACAAGGAAGCTGAATTCGAATCAAAGGAAAATGAAAATAGAATATAATTATTACAATAGATTTCTGAATAAAAAACCCCAAATTTCAAATTCACATTCTCTTCTTACTAGCTTGACTTAAACTCCTTCAGCCCTTATTCTTCTCCTCCTTGCGCCTAGCCCTTATTCTCTTATCTTCAAAGTATTCGAACCTCTAGAAGTAGGAGAACCTTTCTCTCAAGCAATTGAACACTTCTCCCCCATTCTAGATGCCTCCTTATATAGATTTTCAAGGGGGTTCTTTCCCATTCTTGAAGCCTCTAGAATGGGGTGTATTACACCATCTTCTTGAACTTTTTAGAGTTTTCTCTTGAAAGCCTTCTAAGGGTTGCCGCTCCTAACTCTTTGGGTTGCACTTAGGCTCCCTCTTAGCACATGATAGTTATACTTTGAGCTGCTCTTTTGGGCTGAGAATGGGCTTTCTCTACTGGGCTGAATTTTACTCTTTGGTAGGCTTTATTTTCTTGGGTTTTTTCAAGGAATCGACTTGTACTTCTTGGGCTGAGGTGTGCTCTCTTGCTTCCATAATCGGACTGGGCTGAATTTGGTTTTTTTGGACATTTTTTTCTTACCTTTTGCCTTCTTTTTCTTGAATTAATTACCCCTGAAATCTTTTCTTAACATTAAGCTAAATTAGGGCAAAATTAAATAAAACCGACTTCTTGGGCCAAAGTATGCTCTCTTGCTTCCATAATCGGACTGGGCTGAATTTGTTTTTTTTACCTTCTTTTTTTACCTTTTACCTTATTTTTTTTGAATTAATTACCCCTGAAATCTTTTCTTAGCATTAAACTAAATTAGAACAAAATTAAATAAAACCGACATAATAATCCATACAAAGACCTCATAAATTATAAATAAATTGTATGTTCATCATTGGATCTGCGAAAGTGCACCCTGAAGTATGTATTGCAGGTGACCTCATCCTCAAGGACCTCAACCATCTGAAAATGGATCTCTAATTCGCCTGAGAGCGCTTTGTGTGGAAACACCTTCTCTTTCAACTGTTCAAAGAACCAGGAACTGATATTCTCAACTAGAAAAATTAAATATCACGGCTGAACACAAACACAGAAGACCATTACAGGTGTATTGGTCAATGCCTTACATCCCGACGGTCATATTTCTGAGGCTAAGCATTTTTAAAGCCAGTATACGGTATTTGGGAAGAGTGCAAATATAAATATCTCCACCGCAAAAACTCTGATGTACTTGCTCATCACAACAAAATTCTACCAGATAAAACTATTTTTATTTTAAGACAACAGAGTTCACACTAGACTTGCAAAGGAACAACATCAACTGATGGACTAAAGGGGGAGAAAAGAAAGAACATAACCCGATCAGAACTTCTGAATGAAGTCATGAATGTGTGCACTAATTTCATCAGCCCTTTCCTGGGTGATGAAGTGCCCTACTCCTTCCATTACAACAACTTCCTGCAGGAATGGCACATCTCTTTTGAAGCCACCGCCATGTATGTATTCCTTTGCACCTGGAGTAGTGTAGGTCACATCCTGGTCGCCCACAATAAACTTCGCTGGCACTTTCACTTGTACGTTAGTCCATGGTGCTGTGATCTCCCACGTTCTGAAACAAAGATGGGAGAAACATTACAATCTAAAAGCAATAAGCCAGTACTCTAGTGGAGGAGACAGGAGAAAAAGAAAAATGACATGTTAACATACAGGTCCAGAGCTCGGTAGTAGTTCAGTCCCCCGGTGAAGCCCTTTTGCTCGAATTTGGTAGCATAGTAGTTAACGTCTTCTTCTGTTAGCCAAGGAGGCAACTCATCAACTTGAGGGGCATCATGTAAGCCTCTAATACTTCCTTTAGGAAGGATGAGGGGGCCTGTTTTTTTATATGTTAGGAAATACTTCATTATTTTTGTAGCACCAGCTTGAGCAAACTCAGCTTCTATCTCTCCAGGTTCCTACAACATAATTAAGAATACCCACTTAAAAAATAAACAAAAGATTCGGTCTTCATGCCAATGAAATGCAGAACAGTCCATAACAACACCTACAAGTGAGAAAGATAAGCCACTGACCATTTTTTTTTTCTCTTTCAACATGATCAGTTAAGAGAATCATGCCGTTATCACCATGTTTTAAGTGGGTAAGCTGGGATTGGGAGGGAAGGACAAACAAAAGATTATGGACAGTGGTATTTATAATAATAACAGGGGATAAGTAGAATGTACTGTACCTCAGAATTCTGAATTCCACTGAGCTACAACAATTCACATTTCACCTACCCAACTGTACCATAGAGTTAAGATTTGTTGGGGTGGACTGAACAGTAACAGGCATTAAAGAGGGTTGGTCCCATAAAGGCTATTTCTCTTTTGGTTAACTGACGAAAGGTAAACAGAATTTTGTTGACAAGTAGAAAAGGATGTGGTACAGGGAAATAAAGAGGCTAGTTGACAAGAGGTTTGGAAATCCTAATAATCGTACAAGATGGGAATGCTTTACATAAAAAAAAAAAATCTAAAGCTTAACATTACTAATGAGGATACTGTTGTGTCCGAGTACAAAATCTCCATGTCACACATGGTGGAATTAATGGATGTCCAGTGGGAGAATTGGAAAAGGAAGGAGGTTATAAAGTAGAGCAGGGGAGGGAGAGTAGTTGTACAGCAACCCAATTCCAGGGATTTCTCACCAAAAATAAAATTCATTGGTGGTTGTCTGCAGATCGTAACCACCGATGCCAAATCAGATTTGTATTTTGTTATTTTAGCATGTAGGAATTGCATTATCTACCGGAGTCCTCTGCGGGAGGAAACCCCGTATCTGGATCTGATCCACTCTAAGCTATCGTCTGGTTTGCTACCCGTAAGACAGTAACATGGCATGCATGTGGATGCAGCTACGGATCAATTCATTAATATATGAAACGACTTGACAAGAGAGGGTTGCTCTTGCTGGGTGATGTAATCTGTTGCTGTAGCAGATCCCGAGTGCTATCGCTGTTCTATCTTATACAAAATCCGATTTAAGAATTTAAAGAATAAAACCATAGATGGTGGAAATTGTGGATCAGAAATTCCAATAGCCGTGATTGTGACTTAAAATCAAAATAACTCTCAGATGGGGATTCCTCCGGTTAGGGGTCCAGAAGGAGAAAAAATAACAACAAATAGGGGAAGAATGAAAGATAAAGGCAAGCATCTATAGTAGAATAAATCGCCATTTGAAAATTGAAAAGGGAGCAGAAGAAACAACAAAACCTGAAATCTGCAGATGTAATAGTTATCCCCAAAAGCGGCTCGCAACCTCTGAACAGTCTTCCCGGCCGGATTTCGAGGCATAAAGGAGACGCTAAGGTTAACCAATGCCTTAACCCGGTCCGGCCGAAACAAGCAAAGATACCATGCGATGATTGCTCCCCAATCATGTCCCACCACAAAAACCTAGCAAACAAAATCCAGCCTAATTAACGAGACCCAAGTACAGAAAGCTGTTTAATTTTGCGGTGACAGAGAGGTATGTACCTGATCTTGGCCGAGGATGTTGAGGAGAGCGATAAGGTCGCCAACAATGTGAAAGACGGAGTAGCTAGTGATGGAAGGGGGAGCATCAGTATCTCCGTAGCCGCGGAGGTCAGGAGCGACGGCTCGGTAACCGCGGGCAGCAAGAGCGACGATCTGGTGCCTCCAACTGTACCATAGCTCGGGGAAGCCGTGAATGAAGAGAACGACTGGTCCTTCCCCTTTCTCCGCTATGTGCATGTTTATTCCATTCACGCTGACCATCCTATGTTCTATCCCCTCCATCTCTCTTCCTCTTCTTCCTCTCTCCTCTCTCACTCAGCTCAAGCTCTCTAATAGGTGGGGTGGAGGTGGGTTTCCTTCAAAATTTAAAGCAGAGTCTGAACTCCAGAACTTTAAATGCTTGCTCTGTTATTTTTTGCCCTCTCATGTAACAAATGTCTCTTGGCGTTGCGGCTGCAGTTGCAGTTGCGTGGAGCGAAGACGGGTCCTTTTCACGTGTATGTGGATGTAGGGAACGAGCCAACGAGGAGAACGAGTAAGGATTGGATTAGTTGAACGCAATATCTGTACATCGAAAATTCGGGCTTGCTCCTCACAGCACTTAGACGGTATATAGGGGTGATCATTTCAGCCCGGCCCGGGCCCGGGCCCACATCAGGCCCGTAAATTTTAGGCCTGGGTTTGGGCTTAATACTTCAAGTCTGGTCTGGTTCGGCCCGATCTGCATATATTTAAACTTACGCATTTTGTGTATAATGTATATATATGTATATGCTATTTTATATTATATTGTATATTTTATATATAAATATTATAACATCACATGTATAATTTATATTATATGTAATATTTTATATTACATAATGTATAAAAAAGTTTATATGTATATTATGCCATTTAATATATAGATATGTAATGTTTTATATGTGAGTGACATTGGCCCAGAATTAGGCCCGGCCCAGCCCGGGCTCGTATAGACCTGGACTAGGGCTTATGTTTCAGGCCCGGAACCCCAGGCTAGGCCAGGCCCGGGCCTAAGCTATAGCACTCATCATAAGTGCAAAGCCCAGACTGGGCCTACCCTGGCTCGGTCCATGATCACCCCTAGACAGTACGTTGGGAATATCTCCCCAACTTGTATATTGTCGTTATAATGTTATATCATAAATTTATTTATTTTTAAATATTATTGTAATTTTTTTTTAACTTAAATTTAATTTTTTTAGTTTAAATCTTTTTAACCAATCGACCAAATTGAAAACTGACTCAATCAATACATTTCGAGTTGGCCGGTTTTCATTAATGGTCATTCTGTTTCAGGTGACCAACTTTCCAACCTTGACTAGGTCAATTTGGTTGGCCAACAACCTACAATCGAACTGAACGATCCTTGAACACCCCTTATCTCAACTAAATTAATAGTTTAATCTCTAATAAATAACAATAGTTTAATCTTCAATAATTATTAAAAATTTATAGCAAAAATAAATAAATAAATAATAAAATATGATAATTAAAAAATACAATAAATACTAAAAATATATTAAATTAGTCAATAAATAGTGTAATCTCAAATAATAGTCTAATCTCTAATAAATACAAATCAATAAATTATAAAAAGTATATAATTACTAAAAATAAACTTATAACAAAAATACAATAAATACAATAAGCACAATAAATTAAATTTAAAAAGTTAAATAATAGTAGTTTAATCTTTAATAATTATTCAAAATTTTTTGTTTAATAACAAAAAAAAATAGATTTATACATAATATTGAAAATATATTTATCCAAAATACAATAAATAATTACTGAAAATACAATAAATATTAATTTTAGTATATAAATAAATATAAATTAACATTGCCAAATTATTATTAATAAATATTATTTGTTTTGAAAGTTAATTTCTGGAGTTAGTAATTGATAAAAGTGAAATTAGTTATTTACAATATTAATTATTTATTAAATTTAATAATTCATAAAATTATAATTTATACTATTATTACATAATTTCATTATTAATTTTTTAAAATGTTAAATTATTATTAATTTGAATATTATGAGACCTATTATAATTATTTTTCTACTTTTAAGAAAATTTTTCAATTTATTACATTATTTTGTTATTTTAAGTATATAAAAATTAGTTATGTTAAATATTTAAATAAATATGTAAAATATTTAATTTTATTTATTTTATAGTTATTGCATAATATTAAATATTTCATTATATAATTATTTAGCTATTTTTAATATTTTTATTTAAGATATTTAGTTATTGAAAATATTTAAGTAATATTTTTCTTTTTAATGTTAAAGTTTTATTATTTTAATAACATTTAAATTGATATTTCATAAAATTATAATGTATATTGTTAGTACATAATTTTGTGATGAATTTTGTAAAAATATAAAACTATTAATAAGTTAAATATTATTAAATCTATTATAATTAATTTTTATATTCTTAATAAATATTTTAAAGTTAATATATAATTTCATTATAATATTTAAATATTTCTTAAGTTTTTTAATTGAAACTTTATTTAGATAGATACAGACAAAAGTGAAGAGAGGATAAATAGGAATTAGAGATAGTTTAGGAGATAAATAGGAATTTGAGATAATTTTGGAGAAAGTGGGGGATAGTGGTGCCACTTGGATAGACATTAGAAAAGCAAATACCTCTTTCTTTGGGTTGGGAAAATCTTCTGGTAGCCCTGATAGTCAAAAGACACATTGAGCTTTTGCATGAAGATCTGAGTAGCCCAATGCACGTTTGATAGACACACGTCTTTCCACGTGAGAATAAAACGCGAAAGATGCAAAAAGCTTCATTTGGAGCTTCCCGAAGTCAACCCAAAATGGGATTTTTGTGTCTTTTTGGCGTTCCGGCTTTTGGTGGCTAGATCTTCTGTGCACCAAACGGAAATAGATTGAAAATCGGTATACCCGACTTGTAAACAGCCAAAATACCGTGCGAAAAGACACGCCAAATATGCCCTTTATCTATTGGTTGTTAGAGATAATTTAGCCTATATTGTTTTCTTATTGGTTTAATGGATAATTACATGGAATTAAAAAATAAAAAAATAAGAAAACAAGAAATTAGGAAGAGTGGGTTTGGAGCAAGGAAAGGCATGGTGATGTGGATAACCTTGCTTTATATATATAGAATAGATTGCTGTCACAAATTACTCCCGTTCGATAGGAATAACACCTTGGGTATCGAGATCTCCATCTAAGTCTGTCTACATTTATTTTGCTCTACTGTGGTACTGTTTGCGAAAGAAAGCCCGTTTATGATGGTTTCTTTTCTTTTTGGGTAAATTGTTGAAACATCCCCTAAAGTTTTTGTCTGTGTTGAAATCTCCCCTGAAGTTTGATAATTGTAATCACCTCTTGAACTCTGTAACATAGTTGCAACTTGCAAGTAGATATCTCTCTCTCTCTCTCTCTCTCTTAAATCTTCTAGTAAGAGGTATAAAAATGTCTAAAATACTCATGTAGTTACTTTTCACCAAAATGTTTATTTTTCAAATCTTCTCTTCGTATGAATTGCTAGCCCAAACCCTTCCAATATCTTTTCTAACATTAATTTATTTTCTAAATTTGCCCATCTTATCAATAGCTCAAAGGTAAAATTGCAACTTTTAAATTTTCTTTATTTATTATTATTGTTTTTCTATACAAACCAGCCTTAATAGTAATTGCATAGGTATTTTAGACATTTTCATGCCTCTTGATAGCAAATTCTAACAAAGGGGGTCCACTTGCAACTGTGTCAAAAGATTTAATAGAAGTGATTGCAACTTTGCAAGTACCAAACTTCAAGAGAAGTTTCTAGTTTCAACAATGGTCAGAAACTTCAAGGTGGGTGGGGGGAGGGGGGTCAGCCATTTCCCTTTCTTTTTTTTTCCTCATTTTGGGTTGAAGTTTATGATGGGATTAGCCATGGGAATTTTTTTTTTTTTTTTGGGATAAGAAAGAAAAAATAAAAGGCTATGCAACCCAAGGGATAGCCTTCAAAAATATAGAAAAATTGCCGCTCTAAATTATCTAAAGTCTAAACTATTACTAAAGCCTTAGTTGTGTATTTTAAGAATTTTCCATCTCTCTCTCTATTAATAATTATTGCTATATATGCATCAAAATTAATTTTAATTTCGTTTACTTTTAGGACTCAACCATTTAACCCACCTCATTTTACGAATCCCACCAATATGGGTATTCTATTCTTAGATTGAGTATGAATCCGACCAATATGGGTTGAAGAGAATATGTTCATGAATGGATACTGGATAGTAGTAATGATAGGATTATGGTACAAGTTTACTTGCCCGTACCCGCCCTTGTCAGCTAAGCCACACTTAATAATAGAAAAAAAGGGAGAAGTACAAAAACACAGGATGCAGAATTCTGAATTCTAGCCCCCCTATTATTATCCCTCTGCCCCCTATAAACTACATCCTGTTAGTGAATTTGACATCAACGGTCAGATGCATTTCTCCTGTACTTTGGGGCTAGAGAATTCTGATCTGGGCTGATTGATACTTTTCCCTATAAAACATGGCTGAACGGCCTGCATGCGTTACTTGTTTGTTGTAAAATACTAAAATGTAAAATGAAGCTTCCGCACGACATTAGAGAATAGAGACAGTTGAATGATTTAACTCAAATCTGCACCACGTCCTGGTTGCTCATAATTCGTAAATACCCTCTTGCTTTAATACTATCATCTCATCCCATTAGTCAAAGGATGCAGCCTTCAAAATTGTGAGCAAAAAAAAACAGTAGATTCGTTACAATTGCAGATATGGCCGGTGGTCTGTCCATTTTAAAACGATTAAAAGGTTTAGAAGATGGATCTCGAAGCCACTGATTTTTGGATTGATGGATAAAATGAGATTCCTATTGTAGGTTTTTGGATAAAACCAGAATTGCAGATATGGATTTTGGATCGCAAACCGCTGACAAAAATACCGATAGCTAGAATGAGATTCGTATTCTAAGTTGGTGTTTAAGACATTGTAAATATAAGAATATGATAGGCGTTGTTATTTTTTTACAGTATTATTTATGACATAATTCTCTTGTGGACCCTAAAAGAGCTTGTTTTTTTTTTTTTTTTTTAACGTTTTTTACAGGAATAATTTTGGCACCCGTCTTTAGTTTGGGTGGTGGTTGTGGCGATGGAAGGACAAAATCCGACGTGGGTATTGTGCCAAAGTTGCTCCACGATGTGACCAACTGACGATATGGCAATTAATCCCACCGCCAGTATCCACACGTCATACAGAAATGACATGTCTAGATTGCATCTTACATGAGCAAATGTCAAAGCATGGTTCATAAGTAAAATATTTTCCGTACGGATTTCCATTGTGTGCCCAATGAAATCACCGAGGCATGGATATAGAGCAAACAAATTTCGCTATCTCATCCCATCCGGCCATCGGTGGGTGACCCTCTCTATTCACATTTCTATTGATTTTCAACCCAGCTGCCTGCGTGTC